TATCCATTTACCCATCTATCGCTCTTCTGTCAATTTAATCTGTTCATCCATCATCCAAGTTCCTATCTATCCATCCATCCATCCGCGCATCATTCACCTTTTTATCCATCCATCCATCTATCCATCCATCCATCCATCCACCTGCTTATTCATTTGTCTATGCTCTGTCTGTTTGTTCATTCCTCCGTCTTCCATCCATCCATCTTCTGTCCATCTATCATCAGTGTTCATCTGCCCCATCCATCCAACCATTCTTCCACCCATCCACCCATTCATCCATTCATCTATCTAATAGGTAACCCGCACCTACAGAACATGAGGTACCAAGTATTCAGGCTCTGGTCTCAAGGCAGGGGTGGTCTCTTTTATCCTTGCCCCTGTGGGTCTTGAGGAAATGTCTACCCCTGGGACTTGGGTTCAGATTGCACTGAGAGCTGGGTTCAGGTGTAGGAGGGAGGAACAGGCCAGCCCGAATGTGCACAGAGTGAGGATGCCACCATCTTCCTCCCAGACAGCTTCCCAGTGCTGATCCTGGAGGGCACTTCCTTCCAAATGTGCTGCCAGCTGCCCAGCTCAAGTGAGTGGTGGTTTTCATTTGCTGCTCGCTGTCTTGGGACCTTGGGACTTGCCCACCCCATCTTCCTGAACCTTGCCAACTGTCTTGAAGAAACCCAGGCATCGGGCACTGTATCGCCATGTGGTGGGGTGCAATGGCTGAGAAGCAGCTGCTTCTCCAACGCTTTTGTTTCCCGGGCCCTGGAAGCTGTGATTGTATGCGGTTCGTAATTAATCATTCCTTGCCTGGCAATTGTCATTCTGAAGGCAGCAGTGGCAAGTTTTTCCTGACCTTGCTTTGGATGTAGGGAAGGAAAAGAAACTGAAGGGTAATGTGGTCTGGGCTGGAAAAGCAATTTAGAGTGATTTGCCCTGAATATTCAGTGATGTGGGCTGCAGATCCCCACAGCAGATAGGTGAGTTTCCGGGGCAACAGATTCAAATGAGTTCCATCATCTGCCATTTGGCCCGTCCTGCATTGAGTTTGCAGATGTGTGGTAGTAGCTGATAAGGATGGTCTGCAGCACGGGCCAGGCCTGAGCTCATTAGAACATGCTTATTATCCATTCCTAATGAAGGTTGAGAGCCTGGGCCAGGAAGTTCTTCAGAGCTGTGAGTCAGAGGGTGCCGAGAGCGCGCCGCTTTCGCGGCACGTGGCCACCAGCGGAGGCTCGGAGGAGGCTGGCGCTGGCCCCCGGGCAGTGTCAGATGTCGAAGCCTCCCGGAGGCAGGGGAATGCTTGGATGTTGGTTTGGCCACTTCTGACTGGCCTGAGCATTCTGGCTGGAGGTGCTGGTGCCTGGGTTTACGGCTGAGGTGCTGTGGCCATGATGGGTCAGCGCTGTGGTAACTTCCACAGAAGACGACGCTCCAGGGTCTGTGGGTGGGGGTGCTGACCTCAGCTCCACTCAGGGCCTGGGTGCTGCCTCTAGTTTGTTTGCTCAAAGGCTAGTGCTCTACCACTTGAGCCACAGTTCTACTTTCAGCTTTTTGCTGGTTAGAGATATGGGCATGAGCCACTGGGCTTTGAAGATGTAGCACTTGAGGTTGCCATGGGAACAGGGAGGTGCCACAGCCAGGCCTTATCTCTCTTTCCATCCCTTGGAGGGGGACTCCAGTGGCCACCAGGCTTGGAAATGGGGTCCAGTGAAGCTTAAAGAAGGGGCTTGGAGGGCTGGGAAGGTGGCTCAGTGGTAGAGTGCTTGCCTTGCATGCCTGAGGCCCTGGGTTTGATTCCTCAGCACCACATAAGCAAAAAGAAAAAAGCCGGAAGTGGCGCTGTGGCTCAAGTGGTAGAGTGCTAGCCTTGAGCTGAAGAGCTGAGGGACAGCGCCCAGGCCCAGAGTTCAGGCCCCACGACCGGACCCAAAAAAAAAAAAAAAAAAGAAGGGGCTTGGAGGCTGGGAAGGTGGCTTAACGGTAGAATGCTTGCCTCTCATGCACAAAGACCTGGGTTCTATTCCTCAGTGCCACATACACAGAAAAAGCTGGAAGTGGCGCTATAGCTCAAGTGGTAGAGAAAAAAGCTGGAAGTGTCGTTATAGTTCAAGTGGTAGAGTGCTAGCCTTGAGCAAAAGAAGCTCAGAGACAGTGCCCAGGCCCTGAGTTCAAGTCCCAGGATTGGCAAAAAAAAGAAAAAAGAAAAGAAGGGGCTCGGGTGTGGGAGCTTGTGCCTGTGGGCTGTGACAGCACTGCCACAGCAGTGGCAGCCCAGGTGGGAGCAGGCCATTCAGCCTGTGAGTTGAGCTGGTCACTTAATTACAGGTGGAGGAAGTGGTGCTGTGGCTCAAGCAGTAGAGCGCTCGCCTTGAGCTAAAGAGCACAAGGACAGCGCCCAAGCCCAGAGTTCAAGCCCCACGACTGACAAAAAAAAAGAAAAAAAGAAAAAAAATTACAGGTGGGACCAGCCCAGCCAGCTGAGTTGAGCTGCTCAGTTACTGCCCAGTGGCCAGGGGTCAGGGCTCTTATTGTTTCCAGTCCCTGTGTCCATGTCATAAATGGAGCTTTACCAGCAAGCAAAATATTTATACTGCACGAATCCTGGTGTTTAGCATGCAACAAGTACTCAAAGTGCCAGCTGTGTTCTAAAACTTAAGAGGCAGGGGCTTCCAGGCAGGTTCCTGTGATGATCCCACCTGAGCATATGCTCACCCACCCACCCATCCACCCATCCATCCATCCACCCATCCACCCACACACCTATCCACTCACTCATCAACCCATCCACCCATCCATTCACCGACCCATCCATTCATCCACCCATCCATTCACCCACCCACCCATCCATCCAGGCAATTTGTGCCATCTGTCTGCCTGTCTATCCATCTGCTCACCCAAATACATTTATTAACTATTAATCTATATATTCATGCATCCATTCATCCTCTATCGACTTATCCACCCAGACTACCTGTGAATCCGTCCATCATGTATATATGTACTCACCCACCCACCTACCTATGCATCTACCTGTCTACATCCACTAATTCAATTATTTACTTATCTGTATTCATCTATCCACCAATCCATACATTCAGCCTCCCTCCACTTACCCACCCAAAGTACCCCAGGATCCACCCATCCATCCACCTGTATATCTAACCACCCACCTACCCACTCATCATCCATCCCTCTATCCATCCACCCGTCTAACCATCTATCCTCCCCAGTTGCCATCTGGCAAATGACTCCCATGTGCCAGGCTTTTGGCACCAAAAGTTGAAAAGCATGGTTTCACATAATCCTGCAATTCTTGAGGTCCAGTCTCTGGAGAATACCCCTCCATTTACCACGAGTAAGTATTTCTGCGGTGTGAATGGGTACCCTGCCATTGTACATTCGGGGACAATGGCACTGTGGTATGCTGAATATAACTGGCTTGTGCTTCTACCTTGAGTCCTGGTGCTGAGTGCTGACTCTTATCAAAGGGAGAATTCATGTAGGGCCTGAACCACTGGGCAGCGGGGGTGGATGGGCCCCAGCAGGCTGAGGGGATTCATCTCTCCAGTGCGGATGACTGAGAACATGTCATATGGTGTCTGCCTGTCTCTTTCAAGGAGGACATAGTTTTGAGAACTTAATTGTGCCTATGCACTGTGTTTTACATTAGTTTCACTGTGCTAGTTCTGTGGGCATCTTGTCTTGGTAGATTCCTTGCTACGGTGTCACTCTCCAGGAGGCTCTGAATTCTGTGCAGTGGACACTTGGCACCGCTCCCAGCACTATGCAGTCATTTACCACACTTTTTTTCTTGTTATTTTTTTCTAATCTACTTTATTGTTGCTTTAGAGGTGATACACAGCAGGGTTACATTTACATGTGTCAGGTAATAAGTACATTTTCTTTCACATTGTGTCATCTGTTCCCTCATTCTCTCCCATCCCCTCCCTCCTGTCTCCACCCAGAGTTGCACAGTTCACTTCATCAATGTCCAGTGCGCATCTCTGCTGCATGTTTCCACCCTTTCCCCTCTGATTCCATACCCTCCCTCTCCCTCCCACAGACATGAATGGTATACACCATATATGAGCCTTTGCTGTATTTCTGAGTGCTTGGAAAGTGCCTGAGGATGCTTTTGGAGTAACAGAGGTCCCAAATCCCAGGACAGAAACTCAATCTCCTTTTCAAGTCAGTGTCGCCGGGCACCGGTGGCTCATGCTTGTCATCCTAGCTACTCAGGAAGCTGAGATCTGAGGATCACTGTTCAAAGCCAGCCCAGGCAGGAACATCTGTGAGACTCTTACCTCCAATGAACCGCCAGAAAATGGGAAGTGGTGCTCTGGCTCAAGTGGTAGAGCGCCAGCCTTGAGCTGAAGAGCAGGTCAAGAGTTCAAGCCCCACGACTGACCCCCCCCTCCAAAAAAAAAAAAAAAGGTGTGCTCCTGAGCTGGGATCCAGGTCGCCAGGTCGTGACCCCCCTGGTCAGACCCAGTGTCTGCAGCCGCTGCTGACTAAGGCTCTAATCACCTCGTCACTGTTTTTGTTTGTTCTGTTTGTTTTCTTTTGTGTGGGCACCTGGGCTTGAATTCAGTTGTTCTTGCTTGGCTTTTCTCCACTCATGGCTGACACTCTGTTACCACTTCAGCCATGCCACTAATTTCTGCTTTTTTTGCTAGTTAATCGGAGATCATTGTTTTGTGAACTTGTCTGCCTAAGCTGACCTCAAACTGCAGTCCCCAGGGCTCCGCCTCCTGAGGATGATAGACATGAGCCTTCCGTGCTTACTTATACTGCTTAACCCTTTTGGGGGACATACTGACCCTTTAAGAGAGTGCTGGAAAACAAAGTCTACCTTTCCAGAATATTCTCACACACAAATTTGTAGCCAACATCCAGACCCTCGTAGCCCCCAGAACCTTTCCTGGGCTTTGGCTGCAAGCCTTGCCTGGGTAGATGAGCAAGGGAAAACTCAGGGTACGGCTTCAGGTCTGACACCTGGGCTCCAGGGCTCAGCAGCGCTTGCTCCTGGCTGAGCTGCTGCTGGAGGGAGGCCGCGTCCCTGTTCCTGCTGCCCGCACCATTACGTCAGTCTGGGCTTCAGGGCAAAACCCTTGCGACAAGGGCCTGCTCCTGTCAGCACGGGAATGCTTCGACTGGTGATGGGAGGCAGCACGGGAGCTGTGCCTGCCCCTCCTGACTAGGAGGGGGGATCTGTGTCACATCCTGGGGCCCCCTCCGCCTTCCCGCTCGGACGAGTCCCCTGTGGCTGCCGTTGGTCTGCTGGCCAGGAGTGGATCCTGGCTTCGGATTGCTTCTCGGCTGAGAGCTGACCTGACAGTTCGGTCTGCTACTTGGCAGGAGGGTCAGCTCACCCCAGTGATGGAGTCACGCATCTTCATTCTGGAGCCCCTCGATGAGCAAGGACCTCACCAGACCGTGTCTCCTTCCCCTGAGATCCTTGCAGCCCAGAGCTACATGCCTGTGACACCTGCAGGTAGACAGTCTGGATGTGTGTCTGCCCTTCCTGCAGCCATGGCCCAGTGTGCAGTGTGGCTTCTGTTATCCAGTCCAGGGGCATGGGGGCACCTCCTAGCCACCTTGGACCTTGGCCAAAAATGCAGATTCCTGGCCCCCCCCAACCCCTTGGGCCTGGCAGGGTGGGGTCCTCCACACGGAGCTCCTCTGGATTGCTGGAGTCAATGGGCTAGGTGCTGGGTGCGGAGTGCTGGGGTCAGTGCAGCCCTAGCAGAGTGGCACAGAGGCAGGCTTCCCATTTGTGATGCAGATCCCAGCTGACACCCTGGCTTCTCCGCTGCCCAGGGCCACCTGGTCACATGTGGGCAGGGGTGAACACACGGCCAGCCTGGCTTGGAAGGTCTGGTGGTGTGGTAGTCTTGTTGGGGGTAGCTGTGCCCCACGTGTGTCCCCTGCCTGGCCTGGGCACATGGCGCTCTGGAGCTGGGCTCTGTGGTTGATGGAGGCTGGGAGGGGCGTGACTCCTGTCACCTGGGGTGTAAGCTGGGAAGTGGAAATGAGAGTTGGGAAATGTCACGGGTTGACATTTACATTGTCACAAGTCCCCAGGGGCCCTGAGCCTGGAGCCTTTTGATAAAAGTCACCAATGAGTGCTACATTCACATGAGAGCCCCTCATCTGACTGTGGTCTCCTGGGGTGGGTCTGAGTGTACTTCCCTGTGCAAAAATACCAGCCAGGAAGCATGTGGCTGGCTGGAGGGACAGGGCTTCTGGGGCAGAGCTGGGGACCTTGAACACTTTTCCAGAGCTTCCCATCTGGTGCTGGGGTCTAGAACCCAGCTGTCCACACACTGCTCATGCAGCTAGTCAGGGCAGCTGGAGGGACCATGCTCTTCCTGGGGCCCTCAGATGCGTGGACAGAGGCCCATGTCAACTGGCTACAGCTCCTGGAGTTGGGTTCTGCTCTTTGCACTCCGGGTTTGCACATGAGTTGCATCGCCTGGACTGGCATTGCCTGCTCTCTGCGAGTATTGTCAGTTGATAAGCTATGTCTGCTGAGGGAGGCATAGGAGTGGGGTGGCTGACAAGCCCTACCAGGTCTGATAGTTACAGCAAAAGACATGTTGCAAGATGGCTTTAATTTTTATTCTAAATACTTATAGAGCCCTTGAAAGTCCAGAACATCCAAAGCCACGTTGCTTGTTATTTGTGAAAGGCCCCTTGTAGCAGGGGCGGGTAGGAGCTCCTGCTGGGCCAGCTGCACAACCGCCTGACTGAGTTCTGTCTAAGGAAACAGAAGAACTCTGTGGTTCATGGATCCATAACTTCTGAGAGTCCCAGCCTCTGAAACAGCCACCGACAGGAAGACGCACGCGTCCCCCCTGGGGGCCAAGTCTACCATGCCACCAGCCAAGAGAGGGCCCTTCTTTAAATATTGCTGGAGGAGCTCACACTAGTAATTCGAACTACTTGATCTGAGGAATGAGGTTTGGAGCCAGCCTGCAGAAGAAAAGTGTGTGATACTTATTAACCTTAATCAGCAAAAAGCTGGATGTGGAAGACTGGGAAGGTGGCTTCATGGCTCTGGGTTTGATTCCTCAGTACCACATGCACAGAAAAAGCCGCAAGTGGTGCTGTGGCTCAAGTGGTAGAGTAGCTAGCCTTGAGCAAAAGAAGCTCAGGGACAGTGCCCAGGCACTGAGTTCAAGTCCCCAGACTGGCAAAAAAATGCTGGATGTAGAGCTGTGGCTCAAGTGGTAGAGCGCTAGACTTGAGGTGAAGAGCTGAGGGACAGCACCCAGGGCCAGAGTTCAGGCCCACGACCCCCCCCCAAATCTAAGGCACAGTGCCCAGGGCCCTGAATTTCAAGCCCCCTAGTACTTGCACACATATAAAAATAGCTGTTGGATGCTGGACGCTGGTGGCTTACGTCTATATCCTAGCTACTGGGGAGGCTGAGAATAGGAGGATCAAGGTTCAGGGCAAGTTTAGGCAGGAAAGTTCTTGAGGACCCTCCCCCCTTCCCAACCTTTGTGTGTGTGCATGCCTGTGCGTGTGCGTGTGCGTGTGTGCATGCTGGTGCTGCAGCTTAGCTCAGAACCTTATGCTCTTGCTCAGCTTTCTTGCTCACAACTGGCACTCTACCACTTGAACCATGCTTCTGGTCTGACTTTTTGCTGGTTAATCAGACATGGAATTTCAGGTTTTTTTCTGCCTGGGCAGGGTTTGAACTGCAGTCCTCTTGAGCCACCTGAAACCCAACTCTTAACTAATAGCTGGTGCAGTGGTGTGTGCCTGGCATCCCAAGCTAGACAGGAGGCTGAGATTGGGAAGGATCACTGTACTGGGCCAGCCAGGGAAGAATAGAGGGAAGCTGGATGTGGCAGCTCTATGCCTGTGAATTCAGGAAAGCCCCAAAGTAGGTGGATCACTGTCTGGTGTGTGCCCAGGCAGGAGGCAAGACAGTGTTCTCTGTCCAGGTGTGCGTGGTGGAATGGCTTTGTGAGGAACCCAGAGGGGTGACATCTGTAAAATGCATCTGAGTTCGGTTCCCTGGGACAGTCAATGCCCACAGCAGGTGTCTATGAGGGGAGGTGAATAGGTTTCATGACCATTTTCTTATCTATTTATTTATTTTATTTTTTGCCGGTTGTGGGGCTTGAACTCTGGGCCTGGGCACTGTCCTTCAGCTCTTCAGCTCAAGGCAAGCACTCCACCGCTTGAGCCACGGCACCACTTCCCGTTTTCTGGTGGTTGATTAGAGATAAGAGTCTGATGGACATTCCTGCCTGGGTTGGCTTTGAACCATAATCCTCAGTTCTCTGCCTTCTGAGTAGCTAGGTTGACAGGTGTGAGCCACCAGTACCTGGCCTGTTTTCTTATTTTGCACACACATAGAGTGCACTAACTAGAACATGCAGCACATACATGCACAATGCTCATCCAGGTACAGATGCAAATACAAGTAATATTATGTGCATGCAAACACACGCACATGTATGCGTACTTGTACACACATGTGGTGGTGTGTCTAGGTTGAGCCTCATGCTTGATTCTCTAGCACTTGGTGTCAGGCACGCTCAGTGCCCTGTGAACCCTCTTAAATGAACCATGGGAGAGTCCATTTCTGTCTTTTTTTGTTTTTGTTTTTTGGGTCCAGTTGTGGGGCCTGAACTCTGGGCCTGGGTGCTGTCCCTCAGCTCTTCAGCTCAAGGCTAGCTCTCTACCACTTGAGCTACAGCGCCACTTCCGGCTTTTTTTCTTTTTGCTTATGTGGTTCTGAGGAATCGAACCCAGGGCCTCAGGCATGCAAGGCAAGCGCTCTACCACTGAGCCACCTTCCCAGCCCTCCATTTCTGTCTTGTA